TAACTATCACGTCAATTTCGCCATTTTCTTCGTATCTTAATTCTCAATCAGTTTAATTTTGTCTGCTTCAATCTTTGAATCTGCATTCCCTCGAACCGTGACTCGCGCTTTCCTATTTGCTGCTTTCTCTGCTTATCCTCTTTCAAACAACCATTAAAAGAAATCAAAGGATGTTCATTTCTGAAATTCTAGACTCTAAATTAAAATTGTATTCAAATATTATTTTATTTTTATAATTTGATTTAAAATTGACACAGTATGATGATCGAATAATAAGACATGTTGCTGTGGTATCTATAGATTAGACATTGATTTAAAAAAAAAAAAGAAGTCAAGTTGAAGGCAGATAAAAAAATCAGAAATACATTTTTAAAAAATCATCATCCTAAATCTTTTGATTAATAGTATGTGAGGACTCAGAAGAGTTCTTTATTAGAATAGAATGATGTGGAACTAATAAATAATAATATAATAGGACTTATTATTGTTATAGTTTTTTAAAAATTATAATATGAAATAAGCATAATCTTTTGGGTACTACTTTTTCTGAAATGAAATCATATACTTTCTCAGATTCTAATTATAAGACTATAAACGATGTCTTATAATTAAAATCAGGAGTAGTATAACAATAAAAATAATTAATTTAATACTAAAATTGACCGCACTCATTGGTAAAATCAACAGAGGATTGACATTAATTCATCTCCACATCCTCCAGAGTTTTCTTTTAAAGGAAAGCTAAACTATCGCCCAGCATCTTAATTTTGTTTCTCAAGTATATTTAATATTAATTTTTTAGTAATGTAATTCATTCATAATTTTTTAAATTTGGTGCAATCTCATTCTCTTCATTTTATTCGTCTTAATAGTGAAAATTAATTGTTTTGGTTCATTTTATTAAATTAGCAACAGCTTTCACACAAAGTAACCAAATTACACAACATTGGAAAGCTGAAACTTGGGCGAAATTACACCTAATTTAATAAATTATTAGTAACGTTACTTTACTAAGAGGATTATGATGCTGATGAGTGTATACGAAAACCTTTTAAATTTGGCATAAACAAGAAAGTTTTCCAGAAGCTACGTTAATCTGATTAGTTCAAAATAAACCGGATCAGATCCCACATGTGTGTGAAAGCCCTCCTAGGTCCTAACAGCTTCTCTGATTAAAATTAATTATTGAATTCGAAACTTTTCTTAACAGGAACGAAGACAAATCACTTGAACCCATTGTAGCTAAGGGATGCCCCACTTCTTTTACTATTCATCTTCTATGTTTGCCACTCACCACTTTATGATCGACACCCTCCAAACTATGGTTTCATGAGCACTTTTTTGTAAAACGAGACAAATTCCTTCACATAGTTACTTCGTAAACCGTAAAAACACTTTTGAAACTATAATTTTGTTTCTATCCAAACACCCCCTGAATGAAACAAACAAGCCCTTGTCTCATCAAATAACATCAGTTACATAAATCATATGATATCACTATATTTTAAAAATAGTACTAAAAAATATCAGTTTAAGAAAAAAAACAAAAACGTGAAAGGACTCGTACCCCACCAGTAAAGTATTTATTTGATTTTAAATATAAGACTTTTATATATGCTAATACAAAGATCTTATATCTAAAACCGGAAGAGTAGGATAAATCCGGTTGACGTTTAAGCATGAGTATAATCTAATGTCACCACAAACCTTTTGTTGACTTCAGTGGTTGTTGCATACAGACATTTCGTTACTTTTGTTGTTCCCTCGTCCCTTCAACATGCATCGCGTTTGCCCTTTATTAAATTACCTCTTCAATTCTTAATACAAGACCTATTTAACTAATTTAATTAGATTAAAAAACTGTTGTAAGTTAGTTATTTATAAGAAATATGACATATTTTTTCTAAGACACCAAAATCATCTTTCTCAATATCCTCTCTCCTTACTTATTTGATTATGGTTGGGGAAGTATCTGTAGGAGTAATTTGAAAAAAATTAATAAATGCGAGAAATAAGTCTTATTTATGACTAAAATCAACTTAACAATTAGGTCGGCAACATTAACATTTTTTTGATTGACATGATAAAGATTGCTAGCGGCCTTAAAAGAACAACCCTTCATTACTAGTAATTACTCGTCTTCAATGTCACCAAAAAAAAAAAAAATTACTCGTCTTCAGTCATGATTCAGCGCCTCTAGTGGCTAGATCATGCTTGAATCATCATGATAATGCTTATGAAAAAAGAAAATGGTCTGAGAGGGATCACCCAGAACGGCAACCTCAATGTCGCTGGCGCTGTCCCATCCTCGACCCTGTGAGACGAAGATTGGATGGGATTTGATCCCCACTTATCTTGGTTTTGTTTTGGGCTGTGGCCTTCTCCTGCGGAAAAAAAAAGGAATAAAATCACTTCATCAAAAAAAGGAGGGAGGATGAAATCATGAATCTAGACGGGCCTCTAACTGACCTACTTATTCGTTTGGGCCTCGTCGGCCCATCTCCCAATTCTGGGACTCATTTGTCCAGAGTCACGAACAAAGAGCCTGTTTAGTTAATTTTTTTTTTTAACAAAATAGAGTCCATTTTATTGATAGTAAAAAAAAGAGTACAAACACCAATAGCCGAAGCCAAAAAGACACTCAAGAAAATCTAACAATAAAACCTAGCCCACCAAAAAACTCACCAAAAAACAGACACACAAACTAACAATCAAGCCTACACACACCTCACACAACAGTAAAACAAACTACCTAACAGAAACGAGGCATCAACCAATACCAACCCGATTAGAATAAGCCACATCAGGTTGAGAAGTTCTTCCATTTCTTCTAGACCGACTGAACAAATCATTCTGCATCTCCATGCTATCCTTTTTCCCGCAACCAATTGAATCAGCCAAAAGGATATCCTCCAAAGGAGTTGGAACTGTTGCCAGCCACCCATTGGGTGCCAACCCCCTTCTACAAGAAGCTGCTATAAAGTCTGCAGCACCATTACCTTGGCGAGATACCAAGGAAAACACAATCTCTGGCCTATTCTCAATTAGTGACAGTATTTCAGTTAACACAGAGGTACATTGCCATTCAAAACCTTCAGTAGAGGACATAGCAATTTGCTTAAAGAGAATTTCACAATCAGTTTCAATGCAAATCTTGCACTCTTTGAACTTTTTACTAATCAAAACTGCCTCTCTAAAAGCCAGGCATTCTGCTTCCAAAGCAGTCTGGGCCACAAGCTTCTTCCCATAACCTCCCAAGAAACATCCTACACTATCTCTACAAACAATTCCTATACCAGCACATCCATTTTGTTTAAGAAAAGCACCATCAACATTTATCTTCACCGTGCCTTCTTCTGGTAAAATCCACTAAATATTCCTTGTAGGTCTTGTCTCTTGTCTACCATTTACTTTATTGTTCAGAACTGACTTCACACTCCATACTTCATTAACCAAACCAGAAGCCATAGTCACTACTTTCTCACCATTAATGCTATCCTCATTGAAAACCCAATCACATCTAGCCTTCCAGATACCCCAACAAAGAGCAGCAACTAAAGCCTTTTCTTCTTCATTCAAGCCTTTATTTCCTAACATCAGATCTTCAAACCACTTCCTGATGCTAGTAATCTGTGACCTATCAATCCTCAAGGATAACGAGCACCCAAACCAGCACCTACTTGCCCAAGGACAAAGTAATATCAGGTGTTCAATTGTTTCAGCTTCCAAACCACAGATTGAGCAAAGCTCATTTGAGGCACATTTCCTCTTGTAGAGGGAAGCTTTAGTTGCTAAAGCATCATTAAGCATGCGCCACAAGAAATGTTTAACTTTTGGGGGGTATGTAACTTCCATAGCAAATTCCAGAGCTGTTTGGAAATCAGATGGGAATTACCAGGCTTTGAGACTGTGCGATTTCCTCTCACTTCTTCCTTAGCAACATGATAGCCAGATTTAACACTATACTTTCCATCCCTGCACTTCAACCAAATTGCCTCATCCTTACTATTAGAAAGACGGATTTCTATCTGTAAAATCTTCTCTTTTTCTTCAGCAGAGATTCTTGAAGCAATAGCACTAAGATCCCATCTGCCCTCCTTAATTAAATCAGCAACTTTCAGCATTTTGTCTTCATCACTCACTATATCACAGTTTAGTTTCTCATTTGGGAGGCCCGGAATCCATCTGTCACACCACACCCTGACTTCACTTCCTCTTCCAACTTTCCAAAAACAATTCCTTCTTTAGAAGTTCTCTGCCCTCAATAATACTTGACCAGCACCACGAAGCCTTGCCACCTTTATTAGCATTCATAAAGTCAGAGTTAGGAAAATAAATTCCTTTCAGAATCCTGCACCATAGTTCATTAGGATTCTTTATGATTCTCCAAGCTGTTTTTGCTAGTAAAGCCTTATTAAAAGCTTGAAAACTCCTGAAGCCCATTCCACCAACCCTTTTAGCATCAGTCATCACTTCCCATTTAATAGAAGAGTTTAGTGCTCGATAATGGTTCTTACGGAATTACATCTAATAAAAGCATGCTCAAGCAAAAAAAAAAAAAATTGAAGCAGGAGTTGCCATGCAGCATTTTTTCAAAGAGAAAGTTGCTATACCACATTGTCCGTGAGGTGAAATATCAATAACAAGGACATGGCACGTAGGGCATCATATGTTTTTCGTGAGCCATCGATTATTTATTTAAAATTATGAAAAATAACAATTTTGGCAAGAAGCACAAAAAATTAATATAATAGATGGATAAAATAAATTAGCACAAACAAAAGAAATCAAACATTTTATATACGGTATTTCATAAGTATTATTAATTATTAATATTAACAATTATCCCATCTTGATTTCTATTTTTTATTTGGCAAAAAAAGATATCTATTTTTTTAATTGTTTTAATGTTTTAATTTTTAAATGATTATAAGTATTTCCGGCAAAAAAAAAAAAAAAAGGTCTCCAAGCATTACACCGAAGCGAGGGCTCGTTACTTTTTCCCTCTGCCTCATTGCAAGAACTAGGCGTCACGCCACCCAGATAACTCCCCAGGCCTGGCTTCAGTCAGTCGGCTCCTCCGCCATCAGTGATTCCGACGCACTCTTCGTCCCTCAGCTCTTCTCTATACGTTAGTTTACTTCCCTCGAATGCTCTAACTGCTCTACTTCAATTCCTCTACCCTCCTCAACTTCGGATTTTCATTGGCCTACTTCTATTTAAACCTTGCAATGCATAAACCATTGCTTTGTCTTTCATTTGCGGTTTATTCAATTCTCCAATATTCTTTTCATGAAGTGCTTTGCTAAGCTTTGTTCTTGTTATACACTGAAACAAGCTTTATGTTAATTTTTAATGTATATTAGTGTTTTACGGTTCATTTGTTGGAGTCTAGCTTCATTAGTTGGATGGTTCATAATGAACCTGATTCTTGTGAAGTGTGGAAAGAAAAATTTAGGAGAATGCAGTCTCATAGAAAATATTCAGCTTTTTGGCTGTCAGACCATATCGCTAGGAGCTATTAATCTTAGACTCTAATATGCTCGATAGAACAAGTTTTGATGTACACTTTTGATTTTGATTGTTTATCACTTGAATACTTGCATTCACTGCTAAACATACGCTAGACTCTTTTAATCGTTCAATTGTATCACAGAGCCCATCTGGTTTCTGTTGATTTAAAACCATTGCCATCGAGTGGAAGATAACCTGTAACATGGTGGAGGCGAGCTCTATGGGTGAAGAGTATGATTCGTATGAACAACGCAAAAGTAAAAAACGGATGAAGAAGGCAAAGAAAGAGAAAGTTGACTTCAACAGAGACAATCCACATAAATCTGGAAGAGGAACGGGGAAGGAGGAAAGTTTGAAAGACAGAAAGATAGCCCAGGCATCTCGTATTAGGTATTGGCTCATTAAATGGTTGGCTTACTATGAGTTTGTCTCCATATTAAATTCTTAGCTCTGGCATTAAGCATATTGATATGAGTACACCTGCCAATTTTTACAAATATACCTGATGAAAAGAATGTTCATAATTTATGTGATATCTGTAGGAAACAGGTTGATCCTGAAACAGCGAAATACTTCTCAGAAATTGCTAATCTCTTTGAAAGTAATGAGGTTGACCTGGAGGAACGATCAGTTATATGTGGTAATGCTCTTGAAGAAACCAGGGGAAAAGAATTTGAGCTTGCAACTGATTATATTATAAGCCACACTCTGCAATCACTCCTTGAGGCCTGCGATGTAGACAACCTTTGCTCTTTCCTGCAAAGCTGTACAAAGGATTTCCCTTTTATTGCAATGGATAGATCTGGTTCTCATGTAGCTGAGACAGCCATCAAATCTTTAGCTGCTCATCTTGAACATCACGAGGGTCATCCTTTGATTGAGGAGGCTTTGACTGTGATATGCAAGGTATAAGTGATATCATTCTGCTACTAAAACATTTAAGTCTAGGTTTTGTGCTGGCTGCCAGATACTATTGCATGCCTCCTGGCATTAGTTTCAGTAGATTACTTTGCCTTCTCTTACTACGAAATATGGCAATAGTCTTATGCGTCTTCTACTAGGAATTAGAGTTGCTTACATATGTATACTTGTCTTTTTGGCAGGTGGTTGCTGCTAATTCTGTTGATGTGATGTGTAATTGCTATGGTTCCCATGTGCTTCGTAGTCTTCTTTGCCTTTGTAAAGGAGTACCACTTGATAAGTGTGGGTATTATGTATCAAAATCAGCAACAAATGTAGCAGATCGATTGAATTTGAAGACATTTCCTTCAAAAGAAGATGATCCAGCACAATTTCAGCCTGGATTTCCAGAATTACTAAAGTTCCTTGTGTCAGAGATCTTAGTGCATGTCAAAGAATTTAGCAAGACGCTGCTAGTTGATCAGTTTAGCAGTTTAGTTCTTCAGGCACGCTTTTTGATTTCATTTTTCCTTAATTAAATGATTACTCCTATAACATCTAAACCTGCGGTCTGTTTCACTTATAGATGTATTTTTTATTCTTCTTCTTTTGTTTGAGAGCAGAGTGCATGTGTGGTGTTTTGTATTGTTTGCACCTCCGACTTTTGATAGTATTCAACTAGGATGAGTAAGATGATGAAACATTTTGATTCTAGCCTTCTTTTGAGAAACCTTATTGTGTCTAGTTGTTGTCGTCGTCGTCTTTCCCCCCCCCCCCACCTTCTTGGGTTAGACCTATTGCTCACAGTGTCTTAGTGTTTTTTTTTTTTTTGGGCCCCCTCTTTTACTTCCTCATTGAGGATTTTGTTTCCTTTTTGGCAGACTGCTTTAAAGCTCTTGGCGGGGAATGATGAAGAGTTGTTTCACGTCATTCCTGTCCTTATTGGCTGTGAAGAAGAAAATATTGCAGAGGGCAATCTTATTGAAACAGCAAGGGTACGAGAGCTTGTGAAGTTATTGAAAGAACCCGCATCTAGCCGTCTAATGGAGGTTAGCAACGTTATATCAGGGCAAGCAAAATAATGCAACTAGTTGATTACTATGTTGATGATTCTTTTAGTTTTATTTTCATATAATCATGTATTCCTTTTAAACTTTCTGTATCTTATATGTTCAATTTTGTTATAGGTGTCTGTATAAAAGCAAACTGGCTTCATTAGTCCTAGTTAACACTTCCATAAGCATAATCTCTCAGAACTGTTAGTGTATGATTTTTCATTTTAATTTAAGTACTATTGATGATTCTTTCTCTGTATAATTTTTCGTATTAACTTTAGTACTATAGATGATTCTCTCTCTCTCTCTCATAAAAATATTCCTCAGTAGACTGGTCTGAACATTTGATATTTTATGCATGCAACCTGTATATAATTTGTATGATGCTTCCCTTTGTGGGGCTATTATATACCTAATAGTCTTGTGCCTGTGCATTGTCTTGTGAAGGTATCAAGTTATACTTCAATAAAGAAATATGGAATTAAATGTATTTCATGAAATTTTGCAGGTTGTTTTGGAAGTATCTCCCGAGGCCTTATACAATGTTATGTTTGCTAAAGTATTCCGGAATTCATTGTTTGAGCTATCATCTCACGAGTGTGGGAATTTTGTTATTCAGGCATTGATTTCTCGTGTGAGAAATCAGGATCAAGTATGTATCTAACTACTGTATAGTTTAACAGCATTGACACTTCGCTTTGAGATCCTTTACAATTATATGTTCACCACTTGTTTTACTGGGTTCTATGTTATTTATCTTTAGCATATTCATTTCAAATTAATTACGTGTTCTTATTTTTCCCTTGCAGAGTTTTATGATGTTTATTTAAAGATTTATTAGTTTTCTATTTGTTATATTTGCTAGATGGAGGTGATCTGGGAAGAACTTGGTCCAAATATTGAAAGTCTTTTCAAAATGGGAAGGTCAGGGGTTGTTGCTGCACTAATTGCTGCAAGCGAGAGGCTTCATATTCATGAACACAAGGTTTGTACGTCAGTTGCATTTTCAATAATAAAATTTCTGATACTAATGTGTTTAAAATTCTGATTTAATGTGTGTTGTCAAAACCTACATTAATTTACCACAATAATTGCAGCAACAAAAAAAAAATCAAAGAAAAGGTGTCAACAGCATACTGAAGCTATGGTAGTTACTTAATTTTGTTTCATATCTTCTTAAAAAGTTAAACAATATCTTGTTACATTTTCGCAGTCCTGTCAAGTCCTTGCTGAAACAGTGTGTTCAGTGGATGGGTCTACAAAGTGGATCATCCCACGGTTATTATTCCTTGATCACTATTTCACTTGTGAAGACAAGTCCAATTGGAGTTGGCATAGTGGTGCTAAAATGCATGTCATTGGCTCTCTGATTCTGCAGACAGTATTCCGGTTCAGAAGTGTAAGCAACGGTTTGAGTATTCATGTGTTGGCATTTTCTTTCAAATTTCAGTCAAACAAAATAGTAGAACGGAGTACAGAAGCATATTTTTTTTTCTTGTGCACACGTATATGGACCAAAGAAAATAGAAATTTGGTAAATGCCTTTGAAAAATAAAGTTTGCATGAGAAATATGATTATGTAATCAATAGTTGATGAAATTAATGAGTGACGAATTATGTATTAGTTTTATATGTGTCATAATTTTTATGATGCAGTGTAGTCGTCCTCCTTATGGATAAAAAGTTACTTTAACTATTCAAAGTCTTTGAGACACTTAAAAAAAGACGAAGTTTAAGACTCTTGCATAAGTTTGGAAAACTGGAAAGTGAAAAGGTTTTTCTTCACACTTCTATTTGACAAACTAAAATCAGAGTGGGGATTGTCATTATCTCTCAATCTTTTTTGTTTATGTGTTGTCTTTCCTTTATTCTTCCACCACCATTTGATATTTGCTCTTCCTCATTTTTAAGGTATTTTTTCCTCTTTAGCTCCCCCCCTCTTTTTAATATTTCAACCTGCTGTATGTAAATACCTTGTCTCTAGAGTTCAGTCTCCGCCCAATATATTTTTGCTCCTGGGAAGGGGGACCTTCTTCCATTTTTCTAAGATGGCTTTTTCTTGATGTACATTTGCATGGAGATGGAGTGATTTCTGCCGTGAATTTATTTTTCCATATAAAGATTCATTGTTACAATGTGGCATAAATTGTTAATCTTTGACATATAATTAGGGAAAGTGGTACTTTCATGTAGAGATTCTTTGTAGACTGATTTATTCAAATTATGCATAAAATTATATTCATTTACCGCTTTCTGATGAATTGAATTTATTGACAGGAATATATAAAACCTTATATCGCCAGTATTACAACTATGGAAGATCATCACGTGCTTGAAGCAGCCAAGGATTCAGGGGGATCACGGGTTATTGAAGCCTTTCTAAGTTCAGGTGCTCCGGGAAAGCAGAAGCGTAGATTAATTAACAAGTATGTTTTCCAATCATATCAGGAAGCTTTTATTATGTTGAAATGATAAAATGTCTCACTAGTTACTTTGCGTCCATGTGAAGGACATCCTTGTTTCTCAGTATGTAATCTTTTGCAATGGGGCAAATCGGTGGATTGGTTGAATTCAACCATGAGGATGAAAACTAATTGACTAAAAATAATGAATAGGAAGACCTGTTGAGATGTTTTCCAAATATTGAGGGCTATAAATTGGCAAAAGAGAATTGACGGAGTCTATTTTGCACACCCTAACGTTTTAGGTGGTTTTTCTGCTCATTTTCTTGGATCCTTCAATTTCTTTCTTTAGTAACCATTATAAGATTTCAAGCTGAAAAAAGTATTATGTAATAGATTTTAAATTGTCTATTTAGATTCTCTGTCAGTGCCCTTATCTTTCGTAATTTATTTTGAAGGCTACGAGGGCATTTTGGAGAGATTGCATTACACCCTTCTGGTTCTTTTACTGTTGAAACGTGCTTCACCACCAGTAATCTGTCGCTAAGAGAGGCTATAGTGTCTGAATTGTTGTCTGTGCGAAGTGAGCTTTCCAAGACAAAGCAGGGCTCTTACATATTAAGGAAACTCGATGTTGACGGGTAAGTTCTTGGCTACGGTGCTGTTTTATATTGTCCAGATTTTCTTGCCATTCATTGTTGGGATATTTTTTAAACTGCTTGGTCTCTATAAATAGGGTGCATCAATCAAATTTCATATAAAAATAGGATTGTATTTAGATGCAGATTCTTATATCTTTGCTGTTAGATTCTCCATTAATATCACAGTGTTAAAAAAACTTTTAAAAAAACCCAATCATGTAATGCTGCAAAGCATATACTTGCCTGCAAAAATCACGCTTATCATGTTCCTACGGTAAAATTACATAATTGAAGAACTTGGTAAAAAGGTACAAGGACTGCACGTCCTTTTATTATTATTATTTTTAAAAAAAACATGGCACGTCCAATCATGAGTTTCATTGGCTATTTTCTGTTCACGCTACATTGCTTATGAATTACCATCTACCATTTAATGCGATGATATTTGGAGCCTAGGTACTGTTTATTTGTGTGCTTTATAATTTTATTGAAGTTAATCTTCATGAATTATGCTTCTGTTGTGTTCTCCAGATTTGCTGCCAGACCTGATCATTGGAGGTCCAAACAAACATCGAAAGAATCAACTTATAAAGATTTTTACGCTACATTTGCTTCCGATGATAACAAGTCAACCAAAATGAGTGGCTTTCTTGCTGACACATCAAATAAAAATTCAAAACCAAAAACTGTTAAGGAAGTGAGTAAAGAGATTGGTCAATCCTTAGCTTCTTCCGCTCCATTTTTGAGCACATCTGGATCCAAGAGAAAATCAAAAAAAGAAAAGCAGAAAAATAAGAAAAATGCTCAAATTGGTAGAGATGATGGTAGCTCTAATAGGAAAAATGAAAGTTTCAACAAGGATGGTGCATCTGTGAAGAAACGAGGAAGAGAAAATGATGTGTCTGAAGCTTCTCAGAAGAAATTGAAGGCATAAGATGAGGTATAGATCGGAAGACAGGGTTTTTTCAGAATAGTATGGCATTGAACATGGTGGAAGAGGTTCAAAGATCTGGCGCGTGAAGGTTTGAACGATACCTCACAGCTTATAAAATTTTGTATCATTTACTAAGCTGTATAGACTATGAATACACAGGGTGAGAAAGTAGTTTTTGTTGACAGTATTTCCCAAATCCATCTACCATATTCTTTATCATTCACGCTAGTAAAGCTAAGAAAGGTTATCAAATATTTACCAAACTTTTTGAGCTATGTTGTGTGTGTGTGATTCTGCTCATTTGGATACCAGTCTATTTGTACATATGTCGAATCCCATTGATTTACACACACACACACACACATTAAAGGACTCAACTAGCTTAGCCATCAAAACTTTAAATACAATGCAGAACGTAGTGCATATATATAATAAATGACAGTCCAAAGGTGAAACCCCAGGTACAACCATCTATTATGTTAATTTAAACATGAAAGAGTTAAAAAGAAGTGAAAGAAACAGGACAGATATGTTTATTATTGCTGTAACCTTTATGCTGTCCTATCCGCCATTTGTGAGAGGATCAAACCTGTCATAGAAACACAGATGGTCTTTGTCAATCATTGGATAGCTGTGTATGACTGAAAGGCTTGAAAATTTAGCAGTAACTATCAAGTGTTACTTATTCTGCGTGGGATTAGATTTGCTTGGAGGTATCCTTCTGAAACATGAATCCACCACCTGCCTTGAAGGGTTTTTCCTTTGTGCAGCCTGAGAAGATGAAGTCTTGCCGAGGGGCAAAGAATTCACTTCTTTAGATGGGATAGCCTTAGATTTGACTCTAGGAGACCAGGTTGATAATAGCAGTGAAAGTGTAAGAGCAAGAGCAGCCAGCGGTCTGGACCTGAGGCACTTCATGGTATTGGTAATGGTAGGTAGTAAAGGTAGAGGGCTTTGATTCTTACAGGCTTGTTGGATGATTTTTGTTACTTGCTGCATTGTGGTTCAAGTCTCTTGTGCTAGTGATGAAATATTGACAAGGGTGAAGTGGATTGGTGTCGATTTATATTCTTTCTGATAACAATGAGGCAGAAATCTGTTTGAGATCTGAGGCCTGTTTGATCATGTGCTCAACTCTTGTCATGCTGCCTTTTGCGTTGTCTAGCCTTAGGATTTGGTGAACCTGGTGACAGAAACTTCAGAAAGGTCATGTGATCAGGCACGTGATCCTACTATATTTCTAACTTTCTTGGAAAAGGCCAAAGGTATTAATCAATTTAGTCAAGGCAATCATAATCTTTTGATTCCCAGGAAGTTTAAAAATAATTAATATGATCGTCTAGTGGGTGTTGTTAATGGCATAGTTCTATTATTTATTTTTTAGAACACAAAATTATTTGTTATTTGTATCTACTTTATTTGTATATTAAATGCGTGCTAACAACTCTTAAATCACCCGAGAAAAAGACGTCTTTCAGTAGACCCTGAAATTCGCATATTGATTATTAATACAGAGATAATCTGATTAGTCGTTATTCAATTATCTAAGGAGAAAAGTCGCTCATGTTCAACCTTATTGCTAAGCTAATGTTGGTAATGATAGGGACCAATCATCTTTCGGCACTATGCCCATTTTTAGAATTGGACCAATCGCTTCGCGCAAACACACTATTCAGAGATGATATTCTAGGTTAGTGACTCGTATTAAGAGGGTGTTTGGGTTTGCTTAACAGTATTTTTTAAAAGTATTTTTTCGCAAATCGAGATAAATTTTTCTACATATTTACTTCGTATGCTGTAAAATTATTTTTAAAATCATGATTTTGTTTCCATCCAAACACCTCCTAAAAATAAGGATGCCAAATAATTTTAATTAAATTTTACTTTTTTGGATATCTAATAAATCTAATAAATTTTTAGAAAACCAATAGCTTATAAATAATCTTGATTTGGTGTAACTGCTTAAATTAATTAAGAGACCATTGCCAAAACAAAGAAAGGAGCTCTCTTTTTTCTCTGGGCAACTAGATCAATCTGATTATCCGTGTGGTCTCTGTTTTGGGTCAATTGATTTTGGATGGAGAGACATAAGGCTAAAATGGTCTTTTTATGGGAATAAAGGCTAAAATGGTCTTTTAAACAAAAGGAAAGCTTTCTTCTTGTCAGAAAGTCACTCCAGCGTCGACCCGTGTGTACAAACAAGCAAGCACGGGACATTGAATTGAACGATGGACACAGATCGGATCCTTCTCTCCCGATTTTCAACGCCACCGTTTTAGAACGTTACCAACAACTTCTCGGTACTCTTTGTTTCCACTTTCGAAACGGGGAAAATAAATAAATAATAAATTATTAGATAACGCCAGAATTCCCAGTAACTATTTGCTCGAATCGAAACCAGGTCGAATTTGCAAGACACAGATCTCAGGTAATTTTTTTTCCTAATTCGATTCGATTTCCTTTCTCTGCCTGAAGCTTTCAATTTTCAAAAGAAGTCTGTTATTTGATTTCTCTCTCTGCTGACTATTGTATTGATTTTGATCGATTTTGTACTTGAGTATGTTCGTTTGAATTTTATGCTTCTCAGTTCTTTATTCACGTCATCAATGGTGGCGTCTAATCAAGGCTGCATCTTTAATGTTTCATCTTGCAATTTTGCTTCGTGGGTGGCAAATTTTGTAGAATTCATGGTCCATTTTCGAGATAAAAGGAAATTCGTTATACACACAAACCGGTTACCCTATGTTTTTATTTATTTTATTTTACTTTAGTTTTGTGAATCGGGATAATTGGGTGGAGTTACATGAGTATGAGGCAGTTGCAGTCTTGCAGAAACCGAAGAAAGGTATAAAATTTTAGGGGAAAATATTTAGAAGATGTCAAAGTTGGAAACATGTTCAAAAACTGATCTGCTGGGGAAGGATCGGTCCAATTAAGTAACGCCTTGTTTCGAGGACATGGATGAATTCCGAAGGAACCAATGTTCAGCAGAAGAAAAAAAATTTCGTTCTTTCCCGGAAAGGCCCCCACAACACTTATATTTCCTGCACGTCTTTGGGGATGTGCAGGGTATGTTCATCTTTGCTTCTCTTTTGGGCATATCAGTTTGCCGATATTGCTAGGTTCTGCTTGCCTTTAGGGCTTAATGATCAGAATAAGCAATGAGATAGTGTTGAACACCATGTTGAGACTTGAGAACAAGGGTAAGCCCCCAGAGAACCAGTTTTCCGTTCCACATTATTCATTTTTGCCAGCAAAACCCCCACACAGCAATACTCATAGTAGAAGGTGACTGGATGGACAGCTTTGCTTCTCGTTCAGATCTGAGTCTGTAGATATAACTGGCTTCTATTCCCTTTTTTGGCCTAATGGTGGATCACTTAGGTTTAGAGGAAAGAATTATCTATTTCGGCTGATCAGGGCTTCATACAATGAACAAACTTTAACTAGCTGTTAATAGTTACTTCCTCTGTCTCTTATTATAAGATCTAATTTTTTGAATGGGTTTGTCTCTTTTTATAAGATCCTCTTTGATTTTTTCTAAACATTTAATGCAGTATTACTTATTTTACTTCTAATTTAATGTATTTCATGCATTCTCTTTCTTCATTCATCTCACTATTACCTTCTCACATTTATTCATTTATATATAAGGGTATATTTGGAAAAAAACTGCTTTTGCTGCATATTAATTGCTTTTAACTAATTTTAACTATTTTCTTAAATTGCGTAATTTAGTTAAAAAGATCTTATAATAAGGGATGGAGTAATATAATTTGAGACTAGCTGACTCTGGATTGCTGTCATTTTCTGGCACTTGGTAGTCCACAGATAAAGTCACGTAATTTTATGTTACTTACAGAACAAAGTACAATGATACTTGTATTGGGGTAATTTGGTATGCTTCACGGATCTTAGTAAATTTTCTGCTATCCACTGCTGGACGATGAATCTACTACTAGGAAAAGATCTATGGGAAATAGGTGGCGCTGTTATTTTGTTATCATTCTATAAAATTTAAGCAATGGCACTAGTGTATTTGATTGAAATTGTTATAGGTCTCTGGTGGCAAGTGATGATTCAAAGTTTTCAAGTTTACTTATTGGTCATGTTTTATGATTTATCTCTCATAAGTTCTTCATGCTTCTTAGTTGCTAATGGTAGGTCATATGAAACTTGGAGCGAATGTTTCCTTTCCTGTTTCCTCCATCTCTAATATCCCATAGAACTCATGATTTGTGAAAAATTTTATGGCTTCAGCTGAGTTAATGTCTTTGAATTGACCCTCTGATCCCAAATCAAGAATGTAACAAAAATTGAGAACTTTTGCATTTCTTATAGTCATTTTCTCTAGCTTACCTGCTATCTTTTTATTGATATTTTTATCCTCAATCAGTGCTAAGCAGGCAGCTAAGATTATTGTTCGGATCAAAGAAATAAAGTACGGTGCAGATCTTTGCTTGATACTGTTCAAAATTTGTTGAATGGCGGAGAAATCATGCATCAAGCGCCTCCAGAAGGAATATAGAGCTCTTTGTAAAGTAAACCATCTTACTTCCTTCTTAAGTTGTGTTTAGAAGTAATGCATGTGCTAGCATGCTACTTTTGCTGTGTACCTATGCAATTATGCTTGTTTTGTGGTTTGTTTAGCTCTTCTTTCTGCCGTTTTGAGTGTACTTGTTATTGATAATTTGGTATAATAGCTGGTAGAGCACTGTGAGTACTTATGGCACACATCCATTTATCTTGTTGCATACCTGAAGTTTGTGCAATGCATATGATTTTCTGATTAATTGTTTGCATCCTTCATTAGTCTATGTAATTTAATATGGGGGAGCTCCACTGGCTGTTATGATGTATTGACTTAAAGTTTTCCTTTTTCAAGTATGTTGGAATTTTTGTAATATGTCAACTGGATAATGCTTAATCTTTATCATGCATTTGCAGGAGCCAGTGCCCCATGTTGTTGCTCATCCATCACCTAACGATATACTTGAGTGGCGTAAGATTGCCTTCCAGTGTTTCATTTTCTTAAACTATTTTATGTTGAATTTATGTAAAAACTAAAAATTGTAGTTGGCCTGTAATTTGTGAATATCAATTTTCTTAGCTGGGCATTGAAACATGTCAGCATGATGATGGATGTCAAGTTTTCAGCCACTTTCCAGATATTTGTAGTCCAAATTGATTAATTATAAAAATTAACAACGAAAACAACTAATTATTCAATGAGAACGGGATAAAAATGAGATAGCATGAATTAGTCTCATTTTTGCATGGATAATAGTAAAATTAAGTGGACATGTTTTATGAAAAAGAAAGAAAGGAAGGGAGGGAAGGAGGAAAAGGAAAGAGATGCTGGATTATATTGGAACTGGTAGCTGTAAATAAGTGGAGCTAATTGAAATATGATTAGATGAAAGAGTGCCAATTTCAGATTATTGTTCATGACCATCCACAGTAGGGATTGCTTTTTTATTGGCAAAAAGTGTCCAGTTCTATTTTGGAAGGCACTACTTAAAGAAGGCTAGCCATGTTTTTTATGAGGATATATTTTCAAAATGTGCTTTGTAGGTAAATGAAGACAACTTTTTTAGCTTACCATATATAGCTGTAAATCATAATATACCATTTATTTTTGCTTTGAAAGTCCCTGCACATGTGATTATGAATATACTTAGTCTCATAACGTGATCATTCGGTCATTTCTGCTAGTTAATTTTTAAGTTGTTTGTCAAAGTGGTTGATAACTTGATATTGATTTTATTCTGTCCTAATGTCTCAGATTATGTGTTGGAAGGAAGTGAAGGAACACCTTTTGCAGGTTTGTAAGTTGGTGAATTTTGATTATCACCACTTCATGTTTTCAGATTTATTTTGGTGCCTTGTGATGATGAATGCCATGATTTATAATTTATGCTCAATATTGGTCTAATTATCAGGTGGATATTATTATGGGAAAATCAAGTTTCCTCCTGAATATCCATATAAACCTCCTGGAATCAGGTGATTTTTATTTCTATAGTACTCAATTTTCATATTTGCTTCTGCTCATCTTGTTGATTGGCATCTTGTCTAAATTCTATATGGTCAATCATGTAGCATGACTACACCTAATGGACGCTTCATCACACAGAAAAAGATCTGCTTGTCCATGAGTGACTGTAAGTTCTTTTATCTGTTGAATCAAGTCTTTGATTGGTTCACAAAATTTTAGGTATGGAAAGAGAAAATGAATGAGATTGTGATGGGAAGTGTTTTTTTTTTTTTAATACCTCTGCATAAAAAGATAAGGAAAATGAGTAGTCATCGTTGAGCAATAACAACATTAGCATAATAAACATTGCATGAAACATTTATGTCGCCTTTTCTGCTATTCCCTTTTCTTCTCCCTGTCCATCATGATACCAAATATAGCCCAAGTCAAATAGTTTTGTGGGTTACCCATATTTTCCAATTTATTGATTTTGTGGATTATGCTGCCTTTGCAGTTCATCCAGAAAGTTGGAATCCTATGTGGTCCGTATCAAGGTCAGACTGATTAGTTTCATGGATTTCCTTTATGTGATTTTGTATGTGTTTTTTCTTCAATGGCTGCTTGACTCATGGAATGTGGTTTTATGCTTATTCACCGGTGATTGTCATCTGAGGAGTATAGTTGACGTAGATTTCTGCTTGATTTTTTTTTTTTTTTAACTGATTCTTCCAATATCTGTGTGAATGCAGCATACTTACGGGGCTTCTATCCTTCATGGTGAGTATCCTGTGGCTTTTTATATTAGTTAGAATTCTATTGTCTTCCGTGATGTATGCTTGTTTTCCACTAGCGAGTTCACTTTCACTTCCATCACTTTTGTGGGACACAAGCCTTCATTGAGCCAGGGCTAGCTCTTTCTATATATCAATTTGTTTTTATACATGTGTGTGTATTCAAATAATTGATACTTATTGATTTGTCCCGTAGCTAGTACCTTCTTGCGGGCATTTAACTCTTCTCTCTTGCAGATAGACAGCAGTCCAACGACTGGCAGCGTGAGCACTACTGCTGAAGAGAAGCAACGTTTAGCAAAATCTTCCCTTGCTTTCAATTGCAAGAAGTAAGTTATTCATACCAGCCATTCATGACAGAAAAGAAATGTCCATTTAATTGCCGTTTTGCTCTGAATTTTGATGAATCTAACTATTTTGCATGCAGTGCAACATTCAGGAAAATGTTCCCCGAGTATGTTGACAAGTACAACCAGCAGCGGCTTTCCGAGCAAGCTGCCTCTGAACAAACGGCATCTGAGGTGGCATCTCGTGACAAAAGTTCAGGGCCCATGTTGAGAAAAGTTACGGGGTCTACAGGAGAAGACATGAAAGTAGTAGATGAATTGAAAGAGGGGAGGAAAAACAGAAAGCAATCTTTACCCACATGGATGATGTTGTTGCTCTTCTCCATTTTTGGGCTTATAATGGCATTGCCTCTGCTTCAGCTGTGATCATGGACCACATAAGGATCTTTATGGGCGTGAATGTGGATCCATAAAGTGTCGTCCTTACTGGGTTTGATTCTATAAGCTACTTGCTTTTATTTTTTGGTCATGACTAACATGAATTGTATAGGGAATTGATGGACGAGAAGGCTGCTTTCTTATGTGTGGGCTGATTTTACTCCTTTATGTCTTTGGTGCCAGCTTCTTGGTGGTAAATACCAAAAAAGTTGCATGCTTGTGATGTCCCTATGAATCCAGTTTGAGGTTGTCTTCTGGTCCTGTTCTTGTTTAAATGCTTTAGTTGTTGTGCAGTGTATGTGCATGCAATGATCACTTATGGCAGATTAAGAAGACTAAATTATGACTGTTGCGTGTGCATACGCTGCATAACTTTATGATATTTCCGAATTTCCCTTCTTTTTCTTCCTACGCGACTTCTTGTAGCAGATTGCCATTGTTCTCGAGGGATGGCCTAGACTATTACTATAGGGAAAGATATCTGATTTAACTTAGCGTAACATTAGTTTACCTTAAGTTTCTTTTGGTAATTGGTATGTACAAAATTTAGAAAAACTTAGAAAAGATAGAATCATTCCCATTCTCTCTCTAAACTGTTCCGTTTCCTTTAATTGCTCCTACGGATGCTCTGTTAATATTCTAATGAAAATATAATACAATTCACGTTGATTTGTCTATAGAGAATTTTTTGTGGTATATAATAGAAATTTATTTTCGATGCAGTTTGTGTTCTACACATAATTATGCAGTTTGCTTTAAATATAATTGATAACAAATCAGCAGCAAGATGGTAGCTTACAAAAGTTTTAATTTGAAATCCTCAACATCAAATTTATCTGTAGAAAGCTGATAGTGTGCTGGGTTTATCCTGGTTTGGAATATTAACTGCTATTATAATAATGAAATATTTATCTTAAAGGGATTTAAGCCTTTACCATGACTGAAAAAATTTAAACATTGATCTAATATTAACAGATAGGATTAGCGGAAATACCTATACTTAGAAAAAAAAAAAGATAAAAACTAGGATTAGCAAATAAAAAAATCGACAATGACAAAAAAACAAGTTGAAATTTTGTAAATGTTGAAGAAATTTGTTGTCATTTACAAATTCAGATTTGTCAATACCAAATAAAATTGTGTTACCAAACCTAATTTGAAATTTGTAATTTTCAGTTTTTTTTTCTGTCATTCTCTCTCATGAAAAAAAAATAGACGAAAGCAATTACTCGAAAAATAGACGAAAGCAATTACTCACAAGTTAACCGGAGCCTCCGGGAAGTGTGGCATGTTTGTCGCGGCCATATGTTGAAGATATTTATTATAATAACAAATCAGCAGCAAGATGGTAGCTTACAAAAGTTTTAATTTGAAATCCTCAACATCAAATTTATCTGTAGAAAGCTGATAGTGTGCTGGTTTATCCTGGTTTGGAATATTAACTGCTATTATAATAATGAAATATTTATCTTAAAGGGATTTAAGCCTTTACCATGACTGAAAAAATTTAAACATTGATCTAATATTAACAGATAGGATTAGCGGAAATACCTATACTTAGAAAAAAAAAAAGATAAAAACTAGGATTAGCAAATAAAAAAATCGACAATGACAAAAAAAACAAGTTGAAATTTTGTAAATGTTGAAGAAATTTGTTGTCATTTACAAATTCAGATTTGTCAATACCAAATAAAATTGTGTTACCAAACCTAATTTGAAATTTGTAATTTTCAGTTTTTTTTTCTGTCATTCTCTCTCATGAAAAAAAAATAGACGAAAGCAATTACTCGAAAAATAGACGAAAGCAATTACTCACAAGTTAACCGGAGCCTCCGGGAAGTGTGGCATGTTTGTCGCGGCCATATGTTGAAGATATTTATTACTGACAGATCCGAGGATCACGGATCCACCCCACAATCATGTCTCTAGTTTTACGTTTTCCTATTTTAAATTTAGGGTAAAGTATATATTTAATTTTTTAACTTTATATAAGGTTTTAATTTGGTTTTTTAATTTTTTAAAAAAATATTTTTAGTCTTTTAACTTCAAAATTGTTGGTCTTAAATGATTTTTTATAACAATCATAGTTTTGAATATTAAATTTAATATGCTAGTATTTAGTAATATTTATCAGCATTTAAAAGCTTAATATCATTATTTTTATTAACAGTTTTGGGGTTAGAGGACTAAAAGTTTACTTTTTAAAATTAGGGACCAAAATAAAATCTTGTATAAAATTAAAAGACTAAAAGTACATATTAGCCTTAAATTTAAAAAACACGAATTTGGAACCATTTCCTAAAGCAAAAAATTGAACCCAATTAATTACACTGGGATAAAATTGGACGACTAAAGAGTACTTTTTAAATTTTGGGTGTACTTTTGCTCAAAAAAAAAAAATTTGGGTGTACTTTCGAAGATAATTCAGGATGCTTGTTGCATTTTTATCCTATTTTAATTTGAATTTTATAAACTCATTGTGCAATTCACATTTTAATAAAAATTAAAAATAATAATTTCTATCACAGGAATATTACTTTCTATTTGGCAGGGAACAGAAAAGGCAGAAACTCCGCATGTTCACCCACAAGACAAGATTATGCTCTTACGAGCCTGTTTTTTCCTCATTTTTTTTTTGGTCAGAAGAAATTTATATTATTGATTAAACCAAAGCATCCAAACGTTCAACCACAACAAAAACAACTAAAAAACCATGGCCCATCCGCTGGAACACAGCCAAAAAATACGGAAAAACTAAAACAATTAAGTAAAAGAAATTCTGCTTCAAGTTTTGCGCCTCCAGGCTACAATAACCCAATTTCTGTGAAGAGAATCCCACCATGAATATGGCTAGAAGGGATGGTTGTCTTCCGACTTGCTTTATGGAGCCCACACCCTTATGTGTCAAAGTTATCTTCCCAATTGCAGCATTAAAACTCTCTCTTTCAACAAGAGATGATGAATCATTCTGCAGATCCATGCAGACCTCTAGAACATGATACAATACAAAAAAATAGAGCCAATTGCACCCATTTATAATGTCCATATACAGAGCAAAATTGATGAATTCATAATTCCGAAATTAAGCATCAAATCTTGCATCTTACCCTTTCCCGGTTTCCCCCTTTAAAATTTAATTACTAGTTAAGGTCCAATTTTACTTTTAAAGTTTTTGTTCATAATGAGTATCTATAAGTTTTTTTTTTAAGGCAATGTCACCTCAGAAGTAACCAAAACATAACGATATCGTCCTACTCTTAGACATTCTTATTTTTACAAACTAGTTTTTTTGAATTTCAATTCAAACACAATTCAACATATTCAATTTAGCTTCTACCTAACTTCACTATTCCATAAGTTACTTTTTCAATAAACTACTTTTTCAATCGCTGATTCTAACGGACACATCATCCTACTATTAGGAATTCTTAAATTTGACCATTAAAGTCTCCTTTTTGACCCACTATTGCTAATGTCTTTTTCTTTTTCCCTGGAACTCATTCCCTGTTTCTTTCTTCCGTCGAAAGTGTCTTTCTCTGCAACCAAGGTGGTGCAACCCCTTCATCCCAACTCCTCCGTCAACTTATAGATCCAATGACAAGCATAATCCTCTGTCCTTTGACCCCCCAAGGACAAGCTCCTTCTTTCCTTGGGTCCATGCACGAGTAAGTTAGTTGGTTAGCAGGAAAAAAAAGAACTTAGGACTTAGGAAAAGGATATAGGATGGGACACACTTGATGTCAGCTACTTTCAAATGGATGTTCTATATATGCGAACGCCTGGTCGAGTCGTTTGTTATCCCAGAAACCAACTCCAGAATGTCGTCAGGTTTCAACGTCACTCCCAGCTGCAGCATGAACATGTAAACAATTATACTTGTATGGAAAACTGTGGCTATCCCTCGAAATTAAAAATTTTAATGGGTCTGATTTAAAAAATTTAAAAAGTGCGTTTGATTAATTTTTTCTACTCTTTTATTTCACTTTTTTTTAATTAACATTTTATAATCTCATTTTTAAAATTTTTAAATTGAGCTCATTAAAGTTTTTTTCTCTCCTCCTTTCTACTCCATTTCCCTCATACCAGACATCCCTAAAAATTCATTTTTTTTCTTTTTGAGTAAACCACACATCCCTAAAAATTCATTCTTTTTATATTAAATTCACAGGTTCAGAAAGTATTTAAGCTTGGCAGATATTTATGATCTTTTTTGGAGGCTTTATAAACATGACTGAACAAGAAGTTAAACATTAATGTTATATTAAAAATAGGATTAACAGAACAAATAAATTAAAAACTTAGGATTAACAAATTAAAAAAAAAAGACTAAAGCAATAAAAATTAGCCGAAGCCTCCGGGAAATGCGGCATGTTTATCGCGGCTACGCGTTGAAGACCCCCCCCCAAAAAAAAAGAATTTAAAAAACTTTGGATTTTGGAACCATCCCCTAAAAAGAAGATAATTCCAAGGGGAATTGATGATCTAATCTGAATCTGAATGTTTTAGGGTTAATGTTTTTTTTTAATCTTAAAGAAGCAATTACATTATTTGTGAGTATTTGTTTGGTGGAAGTTCAAATAAATGAAATGAAATTTAAACAATCTAAAACTAGTTTTTTAAAGCAACACACTGATGAATATGCTTATAATAATTTAGTCTCATAAAGGCTTTGATTCCAGATCACTATAAATTTAGTCAAGAACTTCACCCAAAAAAAAAAAATTTAGTCAAGAAAGGTGGGGGAAAATAAGGAACTAAAAGATTTTTTTTTTTTTAAAACCAAAGATAAAGTGTAGTGGTGGGGTGATTAAGTGTGGCCCCATAAGAGGGGGAAAAATTTTGTCATAAATTCTTAAGCATGTTTAGTTACCTTTCAGGTTTTCCTCTTCAAACGTTACTTTCAAATTTGTTGCCTTTCATATAAATCAGTATAATCTTCCAGGTGTTTGTTGCATCTGATCTAGATCTTTTTGTCTTTCCCACTTACTCATTAAATTATTCACTTAATGGGTATTGAAACACTTTAATTTTATCTTTCTCAAAAATCCTTAATTAGTCTTATGGGGTGTTTGGATAGAAACCAAACCATAGTTTCAGAAGTGCTTTTACGGTTTATGAAGTAAATATGTGGAGGAATTTGTCTCGTTTTGCATAAAAGTGCTTCTCAAACCATGGTTTGGAGGTTGCCAAACACCCTCTAAGGAATGCATTAGTTAAAAAAAAAAGAATCTAACAAAAAGTTTAACGTTGAAAATATGAAAGCTCATCCTGAATTTACCAAAAATTGAAGTGTTCCATGATGTCTGATAAAAATACATCTGTATGGAATTAGTAATTATTACAAGATTAATCTACCTTCCAATTCACGTCACAGGCAAATTTGAACAAGAGATTGTATAATGCCATTTCAGCTACTAACAGTTTGTCATATCTCTATCCAAGTGGCATTGTGATTATGATATCTATCAGAAGAGTGGTTAAAATTTGCCTTTTATGATTCAAGCTAAGAGCTACCAAATCCAACCCTAAAGAAGATTTATTTGCTGTAAAGTTTTCACGGGCCATTATTTTCCATTTCAGATCTCTTCACTTTCTTGTCCCCTCTCACCCCCTCTTTAATGCCCTTCTGTTTTTACAATGACATATTCTGAAATATTCTTACCAAGCTTTCTTCTTTTCTTATCCTCCATAGCTCTTCTGCGTCTCATTTTTTTTTTTCCCTGCTTCTTTCCGTAGTTTTGAATTAATATCTTCATAGATATCTTTGAGGTCAATGATGATGAAATCTCCAACACACTCAAGATCTGAGGCAAGTTATTATGATGCATACGGATTTGATCTGCAGGAGGACTTTTCTCAGGTACCATTCTTTCTTTTTGGTCAGTTTCTTTTCCCGGTTTCTACTCTAAACTTTTTCTTGAAGTGAAAGCAAGTATTTTTCATTTTTATTTTTGGTAATTTCTGAGTTTCTGTTGGTTTGATTAAGTTCTTGGAGGAAGCAAGAAAATATGAGATGACAGAAGCAAAAGTGAAGAGCTCATCATCAGTGCACCCAGAAGGTGGAAGAGGAGGGAAGAGAGAAGAATCAGCAGATAAAGAGAGAGAGAAGAAAAGTGGGAAGAAGAAAAAATCATGGAAAAGTTCAGTGATTTCATGGTGGAAAGCTGAGAGGAAAAGCAAGCCCACCAACAAGGACATTAGTTCTGAAGAACCGAAGGGTTCTTGTGGGAAAAAACAAAGTCATGTCTCTGGTCCAATATACAACACTGGAAAAGCTTCTAATGCAAAGAAACAATGGCGTCCCCATTCTGGTCCTCTCATCACAAGTCTCTTCTCTAAATCTTCAAAGAAAGAGAATCACAACGAGATTCCCTACGTGTGTCTCCAGCAAAACCAGCAACCAAATAGTCCTCAAGATTTTCACATTCAGAACTATGGTCCCCTCTATATCGTCTCTTGAATCTGCACATCTGAATTTGAAATTCTTAGGTAAGATATGGTGCTTCAAAGCCTACATGTTAGGATGCTGAAACTAATTCCTGAGACATGGCTTGAATGAAGACAACATATCCAACTTTTGAGTTTCTCTATCAGAAATTCACATTCTTCTAACAGAATTTTCCATTTTCTACTGCAAATTGAGTGTGAATGAATGTATTGGCTGTTGAAATGAGAATCATGTTTAATATGGTCATATTCAACATCGTATGGCTTTTTTTAAACTATATTTGAGCCTTGTGCCATTTGAAGTTATTGAGATTGTAGTATCTTCGTCACGTTTAAGATTTTCTATGATCCATAGTCATACCAAGGGATGGGTTACATGGAGACTCGAGAAAGGAGCAACCCCGGTGAAAAGCACGAGCCTCCTAACTGTTTAGTGGGAGCAGCTTTTGGGAAAAAGAGAAGCATGGGTGAGGGAGAAGGATTTAAATTTTACCTCCCACCATCAAAACAGAGTATTGAGTGAATAATTCTGTCTGGATTGAAAAGTTTAAGGGAAAATCTCAAAAAGTGACTATTGAATTTCAAAATGACAAATCAGAAATTATTACAAAAATATGTTGTTATTTGCTTTGTAAGTGTAGTCATTTTCTTTATAAGTGTAGTAACCAATACTGATTTGTCATTTTGAAATTCAACAGTCACTTTTTTTAGATTTTCCCAAAGTTTAAAGGAGGCAAGAGATTTGTTTTTGTAATCTTTGTTTAATAGTTTCTATGCCCTTTTGATGGAACTAAGAGGGAAATCATTTCTCTTTTTCAAAATCACTCTTCTTATTTATTCTTTTCTGTTCAGTATAATCAACTAACAATTTAAAAATACATGCTGATTATCTAGTAGTCATTGACTTTGCAGCTCAATTGAATAAGTCCGACTTGTCTGCTATTCTATCTTCGCTTCTCCACTGTTTCTCTTTGGTTTTTTTTTTTGCCAGTTTCCTTCTGTCTTTATTTATTTATCTTTAGATAATACAACAGAGAGGCTTCCCACCAATTGAATCACTCTTAAATTGAAATAAAAGGCTACGTTTGCACGCTAAAAGCACCTGTTGCCCAAAACATAATCTCTTCACTTTATTCTATGTAACTTCAATTTCAATGCTCTTGCATGGACTGCAATTTGTGTTGTGCAATATTCGATCCTATATCGTGATTTTTAACTTAAGTATGAAGTATGAATTAAATGTGTTTAACCAGAGTCATTACGACCAGAGATTAGATGAGTCAACCAACAGTTTGATTTGTGACGCAAGGATGTAAAATAAAGTGGTAAGCCAAATGGAAAAATCAAATCAATGATACAACAAAATTTACCATAAGGGATAATTTCACCCTTGTAAGACAGAAATTTTCTTTCCTTTTTTTTTAACAATATAAACACTTCAAGCAATCTTTTTTAATCTGCTTGAAGCATTATGATACAAATATGTTCTATAAGAACATGTTACAATTACAAAGAGTATGCATCCTTAGAAAGACAATGAGTCAACTTTGAGAGAGCTCTTCCTGTCTCTCTGCAACAGGAACCCTTACCTTTCCTCCTAAGGACAAGAAATCAAGCACCTGTCCGACACTAATTCTTCACCTTGACCCCTCAATTAGCATAATCTACAAGCCAATTCCTGCTCCAGGGCATATATATAGTAAAAGAATAATGAATATACCAATCATCAATTAATTTCTAGCTAGCTCTGTCCTCTCCCTGCTTGTTCCACATCCACAGAACTCGGGCTACGAGGACTGAACTTCATGCTTAACATCCTCTTGAACGACTTGAGCCTAGATGTCATTGGAGACTTCAACTCATCGTCAGCACACCTGCTAGTAGAAGGTAAAGATGATGGATTCGTTTCTCTTGGTATGTCAATCACCAACATTCCATTACGTCTGTTGTTATTGTTACTACTGCTACAACTATCTGCTGCCGCTGATGATGAGGACGAAGGTGCCTCAATAGAAGGACCTGCGCCAATAGAATTTACTTGGATCTGATTTCCCCAAATCAAAACATTTGTGGGGAAATTTGCAGACTCTAAATCAACCTCGCTCATAGAGTCTGAACTTTCTGAGTCTGATGACGGACTATAGATGTCTGAGGTATTTCCTCGAACACCTGAACTATTATTGGATTCAGAGGACTCAGAAGCGACCGGGTTCCTACAAAGTGGACAGGTAGAATGGGATTGGAACCACATATCAATGCATTCTACGTGAAACCCATGATTGCATTTGGGTAATATCCTTGCTTTTTCTCCATGAGCGACCTCGCTGAGACAAACTGCACACTCCAAACCATCTTTGAAATCCTCTGGTCGGTATACCAATACAGGCAAGGACCTAAGGACTTCTGGGTCAAGCCCACGTCTCTGGACGCCGTAAATAGCGGGGTCTTGTCCTGGTGCGAAGACAAAGCGGCGGCGGCGGCGGCTGCTGCGGCGGCGGGTGGTGGTGCTGCTCCCTTCAGTGTTCCACCAGAACCATTTGGCGTAGAGATGGAGGAAACAGACAACCACAATCACGAAAAAGAGGAATATTATAGCTACGACCATGATCTTTCCAGTTAATTCCAGCCCCGGAGAGTCACGCGAATTGTCATCTGTTCCTGCCCAACCACCCATGGATCCAGAAACACACGCAGAAATTCAAAACCCAGATTATACCTCACCCTGAAATCTCAGAATACTGCAGAAGAAAGAAATCCAGAGAAGGTAGTGGTAGAGAGGAGAAAGGAGGTTTAAATGCAGGAATGAGAATGGAAGTCAATGAATTTGAGGAAGCGATAAGCGAGGAGAAGAGGAAATTGTATTTGAACTTGAATGGAGAGGAGACTTGAAGATTATATAAGTAAAAGGGGAGGAAGAGGAAGACAAATACGTAAGAGAAATTAAAGGAAGAACCGAAGAACCTCCACATTGGACTGGAGACTTTGGACTTCAAACTAGTTAACTGCGCAAGCAACCAAAGATAGAAAAGAAATACAAACACGCCGTTGGAAATATTCAAACCGTCTCGAGTAGCTTTCTGCGAAGTAATTACATGGAAAGCTGCAAAAAACGAAGAAGTAATTGTATGGAAAATTCGGCAACCAACATATATATATATATATATATATATATATATATATTTCTCACTAATCAACAATCATTTTTTCATAATCATCAATTAATTTAGAATTTATATGAAATTTCCAACACGAGGATTATTATCATATAAAATTTCACATAGGAGTTATCTGTATTTGCAAAAATCACTCCTAAGTCTCATACAGCTACACCGTAAAATAATTTTAAGATCTTTAAAAATTATTAAATTACTGCGGAGTTTCAATTATAAATAAGTTTCAGTTATAGATTGTTAAATTCAATGAATAAATACACGCAAAACTATATAATTGTCAATTTCATAACATTAAGCGTTAATTTCTGACATAAAATTGTTAATTCTGATAGATTAATTGTCAACAGTGTTATTCATATAAAGTTGTTAATTTCCTATACTAAATTTTTTAATGTTAAAGTTTAGTACGACATTTGTTAATCTTAAAGTTTAGCATGACATTAACCTTATCATTAACAACTTTTGTATATAAAATTAATAACTTTAATATAGAAAATTTGTTGTCTTTGTAAATATATAGTATTTTTTTAAAGCAAAAAATAAAATATTCTCTCATTTTAGGGAAAAAGAACTAAATGAGTTTATCTCAAGACTTATTGATTATTATTGTGTGTTTCAAGATTTAAAAAATTATTTATAGAGACACTTATACGAGTAATAAGATTTTTACATCGATTAATAATTTTAATTTACATCCTCGTAAAGGTAGCATGGGTTGCATCTTTATCAACTAGACTAACCTTTTTTAATAAAACAAAATATTCATTTTGATTAATTGCAATTTAACCTTAACTTAGTTTTCATTATATTTTAATTTACATGGATTAATTGTAGATCTGTTCTTTTTTTGACTTGTGTTAGCAGATGCTGATGCAAAAAAGGGGCAGCTTTTCGTCAATAAAAAAGAAAAACTAAAGTCAATGCTTATATGGAATAGTGGCGAAGATCACTTTGACTGGCATGATAAAAGTAATAATAAGAAAATTATTTATATAAATCCATGACATAATTTAAGAAGTTAATATATAATTTAGAAAAAAACTTAATTTCAAAGCAAATTCCGAGTTGGTCAGTAACAGTAAAACAAAATTAAATTAATCTACTCAAACGCTGTTGACCGCAAAAAAAAAAAAAAAAAATCCAATGTCAAAATATAAGTGCTTGCTGGCTACCTGTCCACGCCCTCCTCTGTGGACTCTTTGCCATACTCGTCATTGCTTATTAATTAAGTATAAAACTATAAATATTTTCATTAAAATTATAATTTTTTATTTTTAAAAGGGGTTAATATAATTTTGTCCTTCAAATTTGTCTTCATTTTGGTTTTGGCTCCTCAAGTTTCAAATTTTAGATTTTGATCCTTCAAGTTTTTTTTATTTAAATTACTGGTCTTTATAAATCAATAAAAATTTAGACTATTTTGCCTTTAGAATGACCAAAACATATGTTTTGAAATTTAAGGGATTAAAACCAAAATGAAGACAAATCTGAAAGACCAAAGATTATATTAATCCTTTTAAAAGTTATATAAAAGATTCTATGAAAATAGAAATTTATTTCATATTTGGTTTAATTTTTTTTTTTAATTTATAAACAAAATATACTTAATTGAATCTTTATTAAGATATATTTTTAATGGAAATATACATATACATATACATGTAGGATAATTCATTTGAACAAGAAAACGGAAATTTTTATATAATTTTGACTAAAATTATTCTGTATAATTACCTCTTAATTGAAAAAAGAGGCTGCTAGTTGATTTTTTTTTTTTTAAAAAAAAGGCGGCTGCTATTTATGCGGGATAATGAAACTTCTTGTATCTTTCTTCGGGGACACGGCCACCAGCTTCAAGTTCAAGCTCTGAAAGTGACTGATATTTGATATTCTGTTTAACAACAACAACAATAATACAAGATTCAAATTAAAATACTAAAATGGTATCATGTTGCATAGAAGCAAATTAAATACTACCTCCGGTCCTAATTATAAGACCCAGTTGACTTATTTGAGGAGATTAAGGAAGTAAGTTAAGTTAGTTATTTGTAATAAATAAGTGTTGTCATTCCTAAAATATCCTTACTAATTAAGTGTACT